CCCCCAGCCTCTCTGTCTGAGTGCAGAAGCTGCTGTTGCTCCCTCCCACATGTACACACACATACACACACACTCTGTGGGCGTCTGTGAGCACTGGTGGAATGGCAACACAAATGGGCTTTCTGTGGACAGAAAAATGAGGGACCACTGCAGAGGAGAGGCGAAGCAAAAGTATAGGAGAGGCGAGGAAAGGAGACGAGACAACAGGAGAGGAGATGAAAGAAGAAGTGAAAGTAGAGGAGGTGAGAGGAGAGAACAGGAGTTGAGAGGAGAGTAAAGGTGAGAGGAGACGAGACGAAAGAATAAGATGCAAGATGAAAGGTGACAATAGAGGTGGTGAGGGGAGAAATTAAAAGAGGAGGAGAAAGGATAGGTAAAGTGGAGGCGGTGAACGAAATGGGGAGGAGTCAAGAGGAAGGGATGAAAGTAGTGATAACAGGCAAGAGGTGAGAGGACAGGTGAGAGGAGACGTGCAAGAACAGGAGAGGAGGTGGGAGGAGTGGAGAGATGAAAGGAGAGAAGGTGAAATGAGAGGGGGCAAGAGGAGAGGACAGGAAAAGATAGACATGAAGCAAAAGGAAAGGAGGCAAGAGGAAAGGCAAAATCAGATGGTGCAAATGAGAGGAGAGAATGGGGGAGGGGTGTTCGAGGAGAGGCAAAAAGTGGAAAGGACAGGAAAAGAGGTGAAATAAGTGGAAAAAAATGACAGAGGAGAGGAGGCAGGAGAGGGGGCAGGTTGTGACGGAAGAGGCGAAAAGAAAGGAAGTGAGAGGAGAGGCAAAAAGTGATGAGAGAATTACTGGAAAGGAGGCGACAGCAGAAGAGAGGTGAGACCAAAGGAGAAAAGAGAGAACAGGAGGTGAGAGGAGAGGCAAAAGAGAGGATGGGATTAGAAAAGAGGTGAACAGAGAGGAGAGGAGATGACAGAAGTTGACTAAGAGGAGAAGAGAGGAGAGGAGGCAAGAAGTGAGGCAACAGGATACGAGAGCAAAAAGGAAGAAAAAGAGGAGAGGACAGAAGGTGAAAGAAGAGGCAAAAGAGAGGAGTGGATATGAGAAGAGGGGAAAGGAAAGAATTACAGGAGAGGAGAGGCAAAAAAAGGGGAGAGAAGGCAGGAGTAGAGACAAAAGCAAAGTAGGCAAAAGTAGAGTAGGAGAGAAGAAAGCATTAGAAGAGGCAACATGAGGGCAAAGGAGAATAGAGGAGGCAAGAGGATAGGCAAAAAGAGAGGAGGAGAGAGGACAGAAGGTGAAAAGAGAGGCAAAAGAGAGGGGGGATAGCAGAGGAGAGAATGACAGGAGAGGAAACAGGAGCAGAGGCTAAAGGAGAGGGGAGAGAATAAGAGGAGGCAGCAGGAGACAAAATGAGAGCCAAAAAAAAGAGGAGAGAGGAAGGAGAGACAAGAGAAGGAGGCAAAGGGAGAGGGGAGAGGAGGTGAGAGAAGAGGGAAAAGGACAGGATGTGAGACAAGAGAATGAGAGGAGGCAAAAGGAGACAAGAGAAGGGAGGAGAGAGGACAGGAGATGAGCGGAGAAGAGAGGAGGTAAGGGGAGAGGCCATAGGAGACAATGTTAATGTCCTCATTATTAGCTCTAGCGTTTGATTCTCACTATTTTCACTATTTATAATTGCTGTCAGAATCTTAGTACACTGATTTCCAGTCAATGAGATGCTCCTTTCCCTCCCACTGCGAACAGCAAAACTGTCCCAAGATCAGTGCTTAGAGGTCTAAACTGTCCATCCACTTCTTGTCCCCCTGCTCTCATTATGACGACAGGAAGAGCACATTGACAAGAGGAGAGTGAACGATAGCCATGGTTACATCTCAAAAAGCTCCCTGTCTATGAGCGGGTCTTTGATGCTACTGAAGGAAACCCTCCTGTCTCACAGCGCTGCACACTTCACAGCCGTTAGTTAACATTCATATCATGCCATGAGCTCCCTATAGTTATGGATATATGTTAAATGTAGTGGGATGACTGACTATATGCAGCAACACCACACACAGAGACACACAAACCTGAGTGATCCTCCGTAATCCCCTCCAACTCTGTTCCAATTCCAGCACCTATGGAGCTCATAATCTTGTCAATCTGTGGAGAGGAAAAGAGAGAGGGAGATAAATTGTGTTTGCATAACGAAAGGCCCTCATCTCTATTTTTATGTCCTTATTCTATGGCATTTCCCCACAGACTTCTCCCTCATTGCTCTTTTCCCACAAGCCCACTTTCAGTTCTTCTTAAATATCAGTAATTGTGCACCAAAACCACTTAATTGTTTGCTAAAAGCTGGGGGAGAAATGGGAATTTTGGGAAGGTAATTTATCACAATCAGGTTCGTTTGAGAATACGTCAGTTTGGAGAGAGCTGGGAGAGTGTTTTTTGATGAATGTCTCCTCATTAAAATGACAGTGATGTTCGGAGCGAAGAAAGTGTCGTTTCACATCCGTAAAGCTGAACACCTGCCTTCAAAGAACAGCCCTTCGCTGTCTCCCAGCGGACCGTGTTTTTACTCCAAAGAGAAAGCCGCTCAGATGCCCCAGATGAACGGATGCAGAACTCTCCCCTCTCCCCTCTGATCAGTTATTTCTAATATATGTTCTCTTCTGAAGACCTGACAGCCGGGTGAGGTTGGGAAAGAAAATGCTGTGACGCATTAAATTTATTGACTGTGGAGATTTAGTCGTCATATGAATCGGGAAGCCCCCATGTATCTAAACAGACGCGCTGACCTGAAAGAGATTTAACTTTAAAGAAGAATTCAAAGAAGAGGAGGAAATTTGAGACTGTCAATTGAGTTGAAAATCTCTTTTATCATCTGTACTTTGTTCATTCTTATCTCTAATAAAACGTAGCTATAAGATAAATCTCTCAAGACACCTGTCAAAAATGTTCAGGTCATATTGTTGACATTATTGTAATGATAATTAAGCACATTTCCCACACAAAAATCTCACATTACTGTAAAAAAAAATATATATACTGTATATATATATATATGGAAAAAAAATTAACATGGTCGTAAAATTTGTTATTAAATTATAATGTAATAAAAAACATTTATTACAATATTTTTTATGATATTAAATCTAATGACAATCAAACTTAAGGTTTAACTGGGGATTAATTGTCATGAAAATAAATAATTAAATACTTTTTTCTTTTTGCAAACAACACCTTCTTATTTACTATTTTAATTATGACCTAGACATGTTTTTGTTTTGATTTATGAGTTCACTCAGTATAATTAGGATGTCATTATTCAAAGGCACTTCCTCCATTAATTGACAGATTGCTTGACTTTTTATATGCTTCATTACCCTGGATAAAAGCTGCCCTAGTGAAAAACAGATCACCGTCAGTGCAAAACAGAAGAGAAAATCGTGTCCCGGGCCTATCATTACGCATATTTAATATATTAAAGAAACACATTAAAAATCATTTAGCTGCCATGACAACATTGTTGAAAAATTGTGGCTTTCTGGCGAAAGGGCATGATTTTGCATCACACATCAAAAACATACGCCGAGCACCGAAAGAAAACCTTTCAAGCCAGTCAGCTTGGTTACTTCAAGTTAAGTTAATTAATTAAGTGGAAACGATTCCGCAATTAGCTGGTAATTAAAACGTTATTACCTCTTCCCACTCTGCCGTAAAGGAGGGGGTTCTCTCTAGTCTGTTGGGGCTGCTTTTACCGGGGCTGCTTTTACTGGGGCTGTTCTGCCCCCTGGAACTCCACTGCTCCTCCTCGATGGGAGACACGGCCACCAGGTTCGAGTCTGATTTGGAGAAATTTCTGGACAGCTGAAGGTCCAAAACATTTTTGGGCATGGACCTCATCCTCCCGAGAGTGCAGGCTCTTTCCTCGTAGCCAGAATTGCTGCTTGCTGGGCTAGAGCTCCCCGTGCTTTTGCTCCGGACTTCCCCGTTCCTCACATGCACCCCGGTGGTCTTGTTGCCCGATTTGGTGAGCGTTAATGGGCCCTGGTTGACCTGGGTGTGAAAAATCGTCCTGTAGACTATTTGCGGTTTGGCTTCTTTCTGGGTCTTTAGGGCAGACGCCTCGCTGCCTGTGCGAGGGAATGGGGGCGAGTACTCGGGTGCTCTGAGAAAATCCCCGTGCCGGAGCGGAGGCTCAGGAATGCTGAACTTTCGCACTTTGCTGTAGAGTTGGTAAGGGTTGTCAGGGGATTCGCAGGCAGGAGACGAGCCGTGAAGGAGGCCAGCGAACTGCTCGGGAACGTGGCTGTTTCTTCGGTCGTCTTGCTCTATGCACTCCTTCTGGTGCGCCGCCTCGTCTGCAAGGGGGAAAAAAAGTGTAGGAATCAGTCAAATCAGATTCTTCATTCTTTCTCTCTCACGTTCTTTCTTTCCTTTCACATAGAACACAAATGAATAACAGTATAAAATCATCTAAAATATGACAAACCCAGAAGGAACACGGTCTCTTTGACTGCCTGGACAGTGTCCCCCTTTACACAAAAAAAGATACAAATGTGTCCTCGCTCTGTACTCCAGACACTGGATTACTTGAAGTAGTGTTTTGTATTTATTTATGTATATGTCATTCGGTCGACTAGCTGTGTTGAGACAAGCACCAAATGAACACCTGAGGCTGGGGGCAAGCCAATCTGTTCACTGGGGTGAGAGAGACCCCTTTCTTGTCCTCCTCTTGTCTGAAGAGAACTGTCTCTTGCACTGCCCCATGTAAAGAAGCCCAAGACCACTTCAATAATGAGCTCTTAAAAGCATCTGTCCTCAGGCAGCGTGTGATTTGTAGTGTAACCGAGGACAGATCTCACTTCACAGAGGTCACTGGGTTTATTCAGGTCTTGATAAAGATGAGCAGTGTCTGTATTTATTATTAGGCTCTGATGTCGAAATTCCAGTTAGGGCATCAGCATTCATCAAGATGTAGGTGTTTCTAAGAAAAAAGGAATTTATTCTGTACAGTCACGAGCATATGAGGTTTTGGAGGATGCTTTTGTTTTCAAAAATGTAAATGAATAACAATAATTGCTAGATTTTTATTTATTAATTTTTTTCCAGAAGAAAATAGGAGTGATCCTTGCAAGTGGAACAGCCACCACCTTGATGCAAAGGTGTTTTGGGTGGATGCCAACACATGATGCTATCGTGTTATTATATTAAAATGTATAACAATAACAATCTGGTCTCTGGAAAAGACTCCGACCTCTCCTTTAACATCAACATCAAATCAATGGAGTTTGGGCTTTATTGTCCGTCAGGCAAAAACTGTAAATTTATAAAAATAATAGCACAATTATCCTTAAGTTGCACAACTTGAGGTTTCATTTATGTCTGTAGCACAAAATACTCAAGACATGTTATGCACCTGAATTCAACACATAGTCTGTGTGAATACCCTAACCTTTAAGTATGAGCAATAGTAAAATGTCATGCTTATTAGCACACTTTTTACCACATTTTCTGTGCTGATTTTGGAATTTCGATTTAAATAATTCTGATTTACACAATGTAGTATTGTTTATTTAATTCTCTAACTGATATTCAAAAGTAATTTCAAATGAACCAAAATATGCTAAAATTACCATGCAATCAATGGTCAGGGGAAGTGTAGAATTACATGAATGGCAAGATGCTTCTTCTGCAGACGAAAATTCCACAGGTCTAACCATAACTGTAATAATAATAATAAATGTAAGTAAAATTTGGTCAAATAAACAGACTTTTGGTGTCTTCAACTAAAGAACTGCATGTACACACACACACACACACACACACACACACACACATATTGGTACATCCAGCTTTGATCCTTTCCATACAGTCACATGAGTTGCCTTTTATCTCCGTGCACATAACGCAGAATAATCAACTGAACGGAACGCTCCGCAACAGGCCAAAATAACCACCGGAATTGAGGAATCTGAAAGGAACACAGAGAAAGCTGCTATTTTTATTTTGCAACAAAAAAAGCGTTGATCTTGCATAAAGCTCACAGCACAAATAAACAAGACTAAATGGAGAACGAGCAAATTCAGCTTTGATGAATAACTAAAACAGCTCTCAAAAAGCATTTCTAGTCTCATCTCAACTCACACATCCTCAAAACAGGCTCTGAATGAGTGTTTTAAACCTCATTAAAGCATGCCCCTATAAAGCCACACACTCATGGCATGTAATATAAATCACAGCACCACGTTCACATGTACGACATCGCTTCTCTCATATCTGGTATATCAAGTGAAAAGGCAGCGTCCCGTGTGATAAATACGGGTGTGGACGGCGGAAGACATGCAATGCTTAAAAGGTTTTTGATGCGTACACCGGATTGGACTCCAGCAGTCAGATTTAGTGAACGCAGAGAGACGTGACGCTAAACAGGATATCAGTATCTATAACACTCAGAGGGAGACATCAGAGCTCAATGCTCCCCCATAACATACTTTCCCAGTGTTGGTGCCATGTTCCAGCTCATGTAAACAGCATTTTCAACCGATAAAGATCAAATTACACTCCTGCAGGCTGAGGGAGAGCACAACAAGAGATTGAGAAAATCTCACACACAAACAAAATGAGTTTAAAAGGAGAGTTCACCAAAAAAAATTTAAAAACATTTTGTCATCATTCACTCACCTTCATGTTTTCTAAACTTTTATGGTTACATTCATTATGTTCCATCTTTGAAGTTTGATAGCTCCAGTTCCATAATAGCATGGAAAAGAGTGACTAGTACATTTTAAAAATGCCTCCTTTTATGTCCCATGGAAGAAAGAAAGTCATACAGATTTGGAGCGACATGAGGGTGAGGAAATGCTGACTGAAACAATCCTTTAAAACAAAGTCCCAGATTCGCTTATGACCTTGAAGAGAGAGGATAATGTTGAACAAAAAGGCCCGTGTCAGTTTTGATCATCTAGAGTGAAAGGACCATAAGTTAAACGCCATGATGAGTTCATCCATTGAGAGAGAGAGGCAGAAACAGCATGTGCGATCACAAAGGTCACTGCCATCTCAGACAAAACAGCGGTTGGCATACAAAACACAGAGAGGCCTTGACCGTCAACTGCAAGAAGCCAAATACAAACATGCTGCAGGAAAAACTCACACTGAAAAGGATCAAAAGAAAAAACAAGGTAGGTTGATTCTATCTGTCTATCTACAGACATTGAAAACTTCCATGAGCCCTCTTTACCACATAATAAAGATGCAAATCAGCCCGCCAAAACAACAATTTGATGCTAAAAGTATCATAATACTGATACTGAAATAGGTCTAATATCAGTGTAAATAGTTTAAAAACAGACAGTATTTGATTAATTTAACATCAAATAAAATACTTCAAATGAAAAAACAACGGCCTAAATAAAAGCATACAGTGAAGTTGCATGTTGTGTGAGTGAATGAGTGTGTTCACCAGACTCACAGCAAGGCAGAAGCGGATAACCATCTACAGTATAGAAACCACTCAGCACACATACACAGCTATAATGGAAAGTTCACTTCAGTTTCTGAGAAACAGATCAAACAAAATGTACAATTTATGGGTAATATAAAGGCATGAGTGCTCTGAGATCTTTGCCATCACTGAGAGAGATGTGTCACCAAACTACGAGAGATATCAGGGGAAAGAGATTGTTTTGTGTGTGTTGGTTTTAACGTTTTCTGAGAAAACGAATCTGCACAGTAATGTCTGGAAACTGTCTGAAGTGCTTTGAGATCGGAAAATTATCTAGTATATAGTATATTATAGAATTAAATGAACCAATAAATGAGCAAATGAACTGGACAGTGGAATAGCATTTATGTTTTAGTGTGTCCCCCTCTATAAATTTCTAATATCTGTCACTTTTTCCATATTCCTCTCAAGTCAGATCTGCAGCTGCAACTGCAACAGGTGACATCTGGTAGTCATGGAAACAGCACAGTGGCTTCCTAAAATCATGGGCTCAAAGCTCTTGGCCTTTAGAAGGGAGAGAGGAAACAGAGAAAGAAAGACGACAGACAAAAAGAAAGTGATCTACTGCAGACTGACTGTGGCGCCATCTGAACTGACCCACAGGCCAAAAAATCTGAGCGATCTCAGCAGAAGTGCTTAAGTCTTATCTGAGCACAGCAGAGAGTGCATCAAAAGCTCATGCAGAGTACAAAAGGCTGATCCGGGGCCATCGGGAGAAAATCTATCCCGCAGCACAGTGTCTGAACTCTTCCCACGTAATTAGATAGCTTGTAGGGTTACTTGTCGTAATTTATAAAGACACATATATGAGAAACTCGAGCTTTGAGGCGAAAACAGTGGGACAAAGTTCATGCCCTGATAAAAACAAATCAATCCCGTTCAATTTGATGGACTGACAGGCCATGTACTTAACAAAATGAGCAGAAAACAGGTGCAACAAGCAATTTATCAGGTTTAAAAATATTTTAGCACAAAAAATGAACATTATGTAACTATTTTATAGAGTTCCAAACTCTACAAGAAGTATCATAAAAGGAGTCCAGACTACTCCAAGTCACTATATTCCAATTCTACAGAGTCTCTGTGATGAAAAGACTGAAAATTTCCCTTTTACTATATATATCTTAACACTATAAAGCCTACTGTATCGTATTTGATACACAGAGTTCCTCTAAATTAAAAGCATGATCAAAATATTGCTGAAAACCCAGACATTATTATTTTTTTAATAAAAATCATTTTAAAATATATCAAATATGATACAACAGGCTTCTGAGGAGCGTTTGTTTATTCATCTCTCAATCATCATTGTATTGCATTGCATTATTGCATGTTTTGCCCCACCACAATAAAAAATACAGAGCTTTAATCATAAAACTACTATAATCATTTAAATATCATGAAAGACTAAATATCATCTTATTTGCCACTTGCCATATTGAAACCAAAGTAAATGAGGACTGAATTTTGATTTCAGGTGACTAGACCGCTGGGGTGTAAGAGCAGCTTTCAGGGGTCTTATCAAGATGATGGGCTTATGCTGCTGTATTTCTGACTCACTAGTGTGAAGAGCTCTTCCAGAACATGCAGTAAACAGCAGGGAGGAGAACATCAGCCAGAGTGAGTGATATAACAGGAGTTGCAGTGCATGCTGGGCCCACAGTGAAGAGCGAATCTGAAGCCCGACAGGAGTTAAATTAAAAAGAGTGGATATTCTTAAAGTTGTGAATCTCCCCTCCCTCCATTAAACATTTCCATGGAGAAACATCTATGGTTAAAAATATCACATGCTGCAATAAAGCTACAGCACCTACCTCCTTCTTCAAAACCTCTATCACACTCGTTCTTACCTTA